ATAGTTAACATTGCTTCATCATTATTTTATTGCTATGGGATATAAACTGATCACTGAAAACGCAGACAATTTATAAAACTATAAACGGTTTTATTTTCGTGTTATTAATGCAACATCAACCTTGAGCATTTGATTACAACTATTATTACATAAAAGAAACATTAAGTCCTTACTTTTTTAAAATAAAACTCGTTTTTTACTACCACCTGTCTGCGTTTTCGGGAGAGTAACGTTCACACCCAGTATATCATATAAATAATGCCACAATTCCAATATTCAATTTTACTTTTGATTGGCAATTGAAGCCAGATCCCTTTGCCATTGGTTGCAATTGTGAACTACTTGATTACAAAATTTTGTAATTAGCATTCAACTTCTTTTCACAGACATGTTAAAAACTGTATAAGGGTTGCATTCAAAGAAATAAGTAATTTTTTCACATAATATATCTTTTACTACCTTGTGCAACTGGCTTCGCCCGCACAAATCCTACCAACCCCCCCCCCCCCTCTAATTCGTTCAGCTGTTTAGACGTGGTTCATTAACAAACATACATAAAAATAAAGTTTCGTGATTGATAAGTGAAATAAAAAACACGTGTTTCCCTTGTAGGACATGTTAGTGGTGACCTCAATATTAATATAAATTGTCTGAGGCACAGGTTTCGAACCTAGTTCAGTCACACTACCTAGCATGTCATAGCAATAATGTAGAATTAAGACATAATAAAGTAATTTTTCTTTATTACGTTTGAATGAAAAGTTAGATAACATTTGCTTATTATTATTACACACTTTTTGTACATTTTTTTTCATTCTATATACAGGAATTGAACCTGTAACACGTTACGCTACAAGCAATCAGCCAGCCACTGTCCCTGAATTTGGATTTAACAGTTTGAAATTCAAATTACTTAGTAATCAGCTATCAGTCTTACATCCAATTAGAAATTTTAAGTTAGATTTCTAATTGGAAAATTTTCTAAGCGCTTCAGATAGTATTTGAAACCTGTTTGTATTACCTGTCCAAAGAGGTCCGTGGCCTGCGGGTTCCTCAAATGTTCAGCAAGCCCTGTGGGTCCTGGAGCTACACTCTTCTTTCTAAGACCTGAGAAGTCCCAAACTCTAACAGATTGGTCCAAAGAGGCGGAAACCAGAAGGTCTTCTGTCGGGTGGAATTGTGCACACATCACATAATGATTATGGCCAGTAAGGACACTGATGCACTGTCTGGATTGCCAATTCCATATTCTTATGGTCTAAAAAAAAAACAAATCAATATTAAACCTTCCCTTGGAAATGCATATAGGAAATCATTATGAAGTAAACAATTAAATCATCACTTAAGTGATTGTTTTTCTTTTTACGGTGACTTTAGTGTGAGATTTTTATATGGTTGTATATTTTAAAATAACGAAATGATTGTAACAATTAAATAATATTCATGATTTCTATTATTTTGTAAGTAGAGTAAGTACTTTTGCGGTGCCCAAAAGGGCCTATAGTTGGAACATATTTTGTCAAAAATTGTAAACCACCCTGTACACACTATAGATGCATTAAAGTGATATGAATTTGGAGTGATTTGAATTTGAATTACTTTGACTTTAGTGTGAGATTTTTATATGGTTGTATATAAAAAGTCAAAGTACGTATATACAAAAGTCACTTATATCCATTAAGAATCTTATACAAAAAACTAGCGACTCTGGTGCGATTTCACCCACTCTGTTCGGCTCCTACAGATCGTTTATCAATGTTTTATAGACTAAAAACTTCCTCGACAAAGAAGATAATTATTGAATTCGGATGTTTTATAGGCTATAAAACATCAAGCTACGATCAACAGCAGCCGAACAGAGCGAGTGAAACCGCAGAATAGCTAGTTGAAAAATAAACCATATAATAAATATGAATAAAGTTCAACAAACCTGGTCATCGGAAGCACTCAAAATCCATGGATATTCGTGATGAAAGAATGTTGTGCGTATGTAGTCCAAATGTCCCAACAGGGTAAATAGACAACGCCTCTGCTTGTAGTTCCATACCTGGAAACATAAATAATACATTTAGTTATATTATATTATCTTCTTGTCCCACCTGATTTTATAATTGCTACTTATTTCATTCGTGATTATATATGCGATATATATCAGATATGCGTATATCGTGTCGTGGTGGCCCGGAGGGTTCGAAACCTACCAACGGCAAGTACCAATGTGACTTTTTCCGAGTTATATGTACTTTCTAAAATTTTTGATATGCCAATGACCAATGGTGAAGGAAAACATCGTGAGGAAACCTATGCTTATAATTTCTAATTATAAGTTTGAAATCGCATTGATGAGCAAGCGTTGTGATTAATGCTCAATCCTTCTCCGTGTGAGAAGAGGCTTTGCTCAGCAGTGGACATTATAGGCTGTTGATGATGATGATGATGATGATGATGATGATGACGAATTAATTTATTACCTATTAAAAGTACCCTTTGTGTTAACCCAGACCATAAACTATCCTTGTTCTAAATTTCTAATTTCTTCAACCATTCAAATTCATTTATTCAAATTTATATAGGTTTTTATATCACATTCTTTGTTTGTTTGCCATTAGACATGATTGAGTAACACACAAACTCACCAACTTTGGCATTTATAATTTTAGTAGGACATTTATGTATTTCTTATTAGTAATGGTATGTACAATGGAATCCAATTATATTGACATCATACAAAAAGGTTCTAAAAAAAAATATTTTAGGTCTAATGTACTGGTATAGGTATGATGTATTTGAGAAGAGAAACAGAAATAAATCAAAATAAAAAATGAACATAATAAATATGATATGTCAATCATATAGTTGTTGTATTTTATAAATAGATTTTTTTTATTAAGCAATCTGCCTCCTCTTTTATTTTATTGTAAGTAATACCAGCCCTTTAACACTACCTATTGTGTATAGAAAACATAGCTATAGTCAAATTATCAAATTCAAACCCTGATAATAATAAATTAAATATGGTCATTGAATTTGGACAAAATTGATAAAAAATGGGTCATAATAACCAACATGTCGGACAGGGACGTCATTATATCCAACTTTTTTACATATTTTTTTATGAAACCCGAACTTTGTTGTATTATTACTTCATATTGGAGGTTGTCAATATAGGCGGAATCATAGTAATCGGATTCTACTTTATTAATATACTATCAATTTAGAATAATTTCTAATTAGATCTATATAATTAGTATATTACCGATGACTGTTTAATCATAGTTCTAGTTGGTGAATTAGTTAATTAGTAATGATATTTATAGTTAATCGTACAATGACTGTTGGAGAAGTGAATAAACCATTATTATGGGTAAATGCAAGGATGTCCAAAAAAGGTAGACATAGTCTTCTGAAACAACAACTGTGGCACTTAGTTACTATAGACTTACACGCAGAATACACACACATTAACACGAAGGACAACTGTCACGTAACATGGTCCGTCATTACACTTCATATACATTACGGTGTTGCAAGCACATGCACAAATAAATACACCATTGACATTATGGTGCTACAATAATTTCTAAGTGACATTACGTTCACCTTTTTATCAACATCTTTCGGTAAATGTAGCTATGTTACAGACTACTACTTTAGGGGATGATTTTCAACAGGTTAAAGAAATTAAAATACTAAATAAATTGTATCTTAAGTGAACCTTTCTAATTAGAATTTTACTGAGTTCCTGATGACAGATCGATCTGATATTTGGTACACAATATTAATCTTGATGACCATTTAATATAATCTAATTATTTCACAACTATTTCAGTTATGGATATCAAATGATAGGGCGTGTTTGGCAGAATACAGCTCATTAAAACCATTTAGTTTAAACAATATTGCACCTACTGCTTTAACATTCTGCACCACCCAATTGGTTGACTGTCAGAGAATGCCTATAGCATTAAGACCACCAATTTCACATTGTATGTGGAATAAAGCTACAAAAAACTAAATATTTATTTTGTGTTACTTGTTATTGTTAGATAGGTGTGAGCTCTGACTAGTGTATCAGATAGGTGTAGGTATTACCAGTATTGGTGTTGAACCACATAATGTACAATTTAACCAGGTATTCTCATCACCTCTCAGTATATAACTTCGGTTATTAAAACGTTCCTCTAAGTAAGTACAAAGTTATTCCTAGCGACAATTGATAAACCAGACCTCGGATATGTTATACGTGTCATATAAACATGACGAAACATACAGACAACAAATTGCACTCAAACTGCACATCCTACTTACAAACCTTGATCTTATAATCGTCGCCACCGGACACGAAGAGTGGTTGTTGAATGTGGAAGCATATTCCACGTACAGGACCATCATGCTCATCGAATTTTTCCAACAAAGTACACATACGATAATCCCATAGCTGTATCACGCCATTGTGTAAACTAGCCAAAACCCATGGCCGCTTCGCATGAAAGGATATACCTTTCACCCTCGCCGACTTAGTTTCAAACTTTGTAAGCATATCTCTAGTCTAATTTAGAGATATACGGAAAAAATCCCATAAAATAAAATCCTTCCACACAATCAAATGTCAGACAACCGGCTGACGTGACACGTCCAACAAAATTAGAGGTGATCCTAATAATAATACTATTTAATTAGTATAGTTATCCATAACGTACTAAATGGCATTTAATAGATCGATAAACGATAAATCGATAAGAATCCGTTTGATGTATGTGCAACGATAAAACTATATCTACTGAAATATGAGCACTGTATTAATTTCTCTCCCTTGCGACAAGTATAAATATAAAATAAAATCAGTATATACGTAGGGTGTATTTTAAACGGTTACCTCATAAGAGAAGTTTGAATATTATTTTAATCGGTTTTTAAGCTGTTGCTCTAAGTCATACTCTATTCAGTTGCTATCTTTATGGCAATTGGCAACACTGTCAAGTCTGTCAACTGTCAAGTCAAGCGTTTTAGTCACATCGAAGTAGCTAAAATTGTTTACCAACACAGTTTCACATTTTAATTGCTATCCAGTATTGGACATAATGTGATTAAAGTTATTCATAAAGTAATGTAAAACATTGAACGTTATATACTACCGATAACTTTATATCAATTCTTCGTTAAATACGAGAGATTTGAACTACAAAATAAATATAACCTCAAAGTTATATCATGTGTACAGAAAAGTTGAAAGATTCAGGAAAACTATGCATTCCAGGCATGCGCCTGAGTTTATCGAACAAGGAGTTTGTGTCTGGACCAGGAACGTATGAACTCAGAGGATACATTTATGCTACCTTGTGTGGGACTCTTAAAATGGAACAGGATGAAAATGAGGTATTTTAAGTGTCTAGTACAGCTATTAGTGAAACGAGATCTAGTTACCATAACGAACAGTACACTGTCGTGTATCCGCTATGTTAACAACCACCACTGTCGTGTGTAGGTTCTTTGATATAGTCTGCTACTTTTCAATTATATCCACCTTAATTATTTATTATTTGCTGAATTTGGCTACTTTTTCTGTCGGGCCAAATTGCTCACAAGAACTCAGTTTAATTCAAATTCAAATTCAAATTCAAATTCAACTTTAATGCATCTATAGTGTGTACAGGGTTGTTTACAATTTCTTACAAAATATGTTCCAACTATAGGCCCATTTGGGCACCGCAAAAGTACTTAGTCTACTTACAGAATAATATTTTTAATTAATGTAATAATTTAATTATTTCAATTCTTACATATATTTATGAATTTGTTTAATGAATTTGTTTTAAAGTTACAAAAGAAAAAAAATTAAAATAATTTTAACTTATTACCTCAATATAGCACAGAAACATTATCAAATACTACAATAACCACTTACATACCGATTTAATATTGCACTCCAATACTTATCATTTTATTATTCTACATGAGATCATTAACACTACATAATAAATACAAACAACTACATAAAGTTACAGTAAATTCGTACACCCGTGATATAAGTAACACTATGGAATATTATTAAATAGTTAGTTGTTATTATCAGTCTTGTGTACATATTATGCATTTATCATTCATGTATTCGTTTAGGGTGTAATAAGCCTTTTCAACCAACAATTTTTTTATTTTACTAATGAATTTTTTGTCACTGATCTCGGCTTTTAATGATTCAGGTATCTTGTTATAGATTTTTATTGCCATTACATATGTGCCGTTTGAATGTAGTGTAATACGAGATGTGGGTAGAATTAACATATTTTTATGTCTAACGGCGCGATCAGTGTTTTTGTCTCCACGCTTTATAAAGAACCCGATATATTTCCTGACGAATTTACACACCTCCAAGATATACATGCAAGGGAGAGTTAATATTTTATGTTTTATAAATAGAGGCTTGCAGCTATCAGTCTGTTCAATGTTCGTAAGTATGCGAATTAGTTTTTTTTGCATTACGAAAAGTGCAGGTGCGTCCGTACTGTTACCCCACATGATAATACCATAGCTGAACCACGAGTGTGCGTATGCGTAATAAGTGATTAGTGATGTATGGAGATCAGTAGTTCTCGTTACTTCTCGAAATGCATAGCAAAATTTTGAGATTTTGGTTTTTATATTTTGGATGTGGGTTTTCCAAGATACATGTGTGTCAATAGTAAGTCCCAATAGCGTAAAAGAATTTTCGACATCAATGCTAGTCCCGTTTATTGTGTAGTTCACGGATAGTGGAGGTTTTTGGTATGGGTGGAATGTCATAAGTTTGGTTTTTTTGTAGTTTATTTCTAGATTGTGTTTATCCATCCATTGTATTGTTTTATTTAATATAAAGTCTAGTTTTTCATTTAAGTTGGTGTTATCGTTGCAGGAGGTAAGAAGAGAAATATCGTCTGCGAACAGTACACACGGCTCATCCATGATTTTTGGGAGGTCATTGATGTATATCAAAAATAAGAGACATCCAATGACACTGCCTTGGGGAATCGATGCGTTTATAGACTTCATGTCCGATCTTACGTTCGTTATTTGTTTTGTATTGAAATTAAAATGTTGAACTTCCACGTACTGTTCCCTGTTTTTTAAATATGATGAGAACCACTCATGTGCAGTTCCACGTATCCCAATCCCGTACAATTTATCTAATAAAATATTAAATTGCACTTTGTCATATGCTTTTGTCATGTCTAGAAGAATTCCTACAGCGTACCTTTTATTATTGAGAATATTTAATACTTCTTGTATGTATCTATAGACAGCCAGAGTTGTAGATCGATGCTTACGAAACCCATTCTGACTGTCGTTAAAGACGTATCTGGTTCATTTTTCGGTGATTTCCAAAGTTTTCCAAAATTTAACTACCTACTTCTTACATATGAAAGTTATTATAGATCTATGTTTTCAGGTAACAGTAGTATCAGTAGAAAGTCCAAGGACACCGAGTATTCTACCTAGGACGGGAGATATAGTCACTGCGAAGGTAACAGTTGTGAACCCACGAATGGTGCAATGTGTAATACTATGTGTTGGCTCATCAGTACTAGTGCGGCCATATCGAGGGATCCTGAAAAAGGAAGACATAAAAGCAACAGAAAAAGATAGAGTGGACCCATACAAGTGTTATAGACCTGGAGATGTGATCTTGGCAAGAGTTGTATCCTTTTTATGGTTATTACTTGGTTATTTTGACTGTAATCCAATTTGAGTATTACGAGTTTCTTAAAGTGTTGTTGCTTGATAGGATTTTCTTAGAAAAACCATAACATTTTTCTATCATGTTGTTAGTTTCACACATATTTGTGCCAGATCTTGGTGTAAGGCATGAGCAACATTAGAAAAGTCTTATAACCAATTCTAAGCTAACCAGAAACTTATATATAAAATAATAAAACACTATCCAATAAAATAATCGTATTTATTACAAAAATAATCATATTACAAAATAATTAGAGTTAGAGAAATATCGCAAGAAAAGAATACGATTGACAATGATAGAGAACATCCGTCCGATCCTATGGCGGCCAACGAAATGACTGAGTGTCTGCTCCTGCATTTCCAACACACCTCTCGAGCCCCACTATAGCTGGTAGTCATTCTACCTCACACCACCATGACGTCACTGCTTGGCCTGGCCCTGCCTACCGGAGCGCATTTTTCCGCTAATTATTATTATAATACCCTTAACAATAAAATTTAGCTCCCTATGACGGAAATCCACTGGTACCACCTGTCAACAGCTGAGAATGAACTCGGAGTAGTGATAGCGACTGCGGAAGGTTCCCCTCAGGGTATTAGCATGTTACCTATCAGCTGGTCAGAAATGCAGTGCCCTAAAACACTGGTCAAGGAGTCCAGGAAAGTAGCAAGAGTCATACCTGAAAATATTAACCAAGCTTTATTCCCGGTCAAGAATAATTCAACAACAGAGTTGGAAATAGAACAAGATAAATAAATAGTTAAATATAATCATATTTTTTTTAAGTTTCTGTTTTATTTTATTATTTATTCTGTCCTTTTACCGATTTGTTGGCCAAGTGGTTACAAGCATGACAGAGTAAACCACCTTGTATCCAGTTCCTCAGTCAGGCAACAATATTATTTTTCGGTTTTTTGAGTAGTAGTATAGTCTCGAATTATGTAGAAATATTAGGTATGGTAATGGGCTCAAAAATAACTATTTGCACATCTGTCCACCCCTTCGGGAATTTAAAGGCGAGTTACGTATCGGTGCCGACACATGTACCTACACCGTGATCAACGCCGTGTCACGAGGCCCAGATCTACTGAATCAGGACATTACACCTACTTTGATGCAACGAAGGTTCTACGGAGTATTGCAACATCCAAACTGCTGAGTCGTCGCCTCATGTCGCCGCCTCGTGCCCAGCTGCGAATCACTACATCATCAATCACCCCACTACATTTAACCTCAATAGGTTTTATTGAAAACCTTCATACGAAATAATTTTAAGACGTGAAAGCAGTGTTGTTCCGACATCGAACGCATTCGCCCTTATGTTAGTTAGATATTAGGAGTTATCATGTAATTTTAATTATAATAAACCTAAGTAAATTCATTATAGTTTCCATTTGCACCCTCTGTCGGTGGCAGAAACATAACTGACGTCATAATATTACCTACCTATCTATGTCGCAAGCGCATGTCTACGTACCTAGGCATATAATAAATTTTGTGATTTATGTTTACACTTTTAAAATTGAGCGGGAAATTGAAAACATACTGCAACGTTATTACTATAGTTGTTATTCTTCAGATAAAATCGATATTATTGTTTTGTTTATGAATTATTTTATTTTTTTAATTTCGGTTCCAATTTTTTTGTAGGTGTACGTACCTAATACCTATAAATTGCCTATACGGAGCCGCGGAGCAATAACGGGTTGCCGGGGCGTCCGGCTCGAAAGGCGGAGGGAGTAGGAACGGGCTTCTTCCCCTTTTAACTCCCTTTCGCCTCACCCAGGCGGGAGCAGTCATTCGAAAACGGCTGGGTGAAACGTGCTGCGCCTGCTGTAACTTTTACGCTGTAACCACAATCCACAGTGGTGTTCACAGGCCGTGAGGCGTGCATAGACTTTAGTAGGAGTCGTCTGTAGAGGGACATGTGACGACTTAAATGGTTATTTTTTGAGAGGGAAAATCGTGTAAAAATTTGTAATCTCATAATTTGCATTAGGTTGTAATGTATAATAAAACTAGCTGTTGCCCGCGACTTCGTCCGCGTAGAATAATGACTTCTGGCAGAATTTAGGCTTTTGAATTAGTTTTTATCAAGGGATATTCTACGGTAATGGATGTCGTCAGAATTGATTCAGTCCCGTAGATGATAGCGTGATAATATGTAGCCTATATGTTTACCAGACTTGTTAGTAATATTCATGCAAAATTTTAAATAGTAGTGCAGTACTTTTTGAGATTATCACGACCATACATACAGACAAACAGACAAAAATTCTAAAAACCACATTATTGGCTTCGGTATCGATTAGAGATCACGCTTCAAATATTCTTTTAAAAAATATTCAATGTACAGTTTTGACTTTTCTTATATGTGTAGATAGCTGTTGCCCGCGACTTCATCCGCGTAGATTAATGACTCCTGACAGAATTAACCAGAATCAATTCAGTGCCCAAGTAAGATTTACTTATTTTGAAATGATTTATCGTAGTTTCAATAAATAAATAATCCCGCAGGGATCTTACCAGTACAGTGCCCGATCACGTAAGGTTTGAGTAATAAAAACTATTCTATCGACTATTGTTGTACCGAATCTCTCTAGAATAAGTTCAGTGGTTAAGAGTTAGAGAGTCCTGGGGCATTGACGCATAGTTCCCGTTCTCGTGAGACATCTGTGAAAAAACTATCATACGTTACCCAGGTCCCAAATCATCGTTTTACCGAATGTAATTCAAAAAGATTCAATGATTCTAAATTCAACGGCTAAGAAGATTTATACAAACTCTCATTCCCTATTTTATCCCCTTAGGGGTGGAATTTATCAAAATCCTTTCTAAAGAGATACCTATGTCATAGTAACTTTATGCATGCAAAGTCTCAGCCCGATCAATTTAAAACTGGCAAAGTATCATACTTTGGGGTGAGAATGTTCAAAAACCTTTCTAAAGGGACGTTTACGTCATAATATCCATCTGCACGCCGAATTTCAACCCGATCGGTGTAAAACTGACAAAGCCTCACACAAACGTTCATCCCCTATTTTACCCCCTTGGTGGAAATTATCAAAATCCTTTCAAAGCGGATGCTTACGTCATAACATCTATCTGCATGCCAAATTTCAACCTGATCGGTTTAAAACTGACAAAGGCTCATATAAACTTTCATCCCCTATTTTACCCACTTGGGGGTGGAAATTATCAAAATCCTTTCACAGCGGACGCCTACGTCGTAACATCTATCTGCATGCCAAATTACAACCCGATCGGTTTAAAACTGACAAAGTCTCATACAAACTTTCATCCCCTTTTTTACCCCCTTGGGGGTGGAAATTATCAAAATCCTTTCACAGCGGATGCTTACGTCATAACATCTATCTGCATGCCAAATTTCAACCCGATCAGTTAAAAACTGACAAAGTTTCATACAAACTTTCATCCCCTTTTTTACCCCCTTGGGGGTGGAAATTATCAAAATCCTTTCTTAGCGAATGCCTACGTCATAACATCTATCTGTATGCCAAATTTTAGCCCAATCTGTCCAGCGGTTTGGGCTGTGCGTTGATAGATCACTATGTCAGTCAGTCAATCAGTCAGTCAGTCAATCACCTTTGAATGTTATATATTATATAGATATAGATTATTATTCATTATTGTGTCACAGAAGGCGTAAGTAGTTATAATTAATTTATCTGGTACGAGAGTTTTTTTTTTAGGGGGGAAAATCATCGAATGACTGCTCCCGCCTGGGTGAGGCGGGAGTGTCAGACTCTTACTGACTAAAAACCACCCCGTTCCTTCTCCTGCACGTCGAGCCAGAGCCCTGGTTACCCGTTAGGTTCTCCGCGACACTGAATCGGCATCGGCCCTATTGAGTTATTTTGTCTCATAGAAGATGAAGATAGAAATGATCTGCTCGTCTCGCATGTCGAGGTTGAGTACGAGTTTGTTTTAAGTTAAAAGTAGGTAATCGAAACGAGACCATTCGACGCTCTGATTGGTCAGCTCCAATGAACCAACCAACCGGCTGATTACCCTAACCTCAACGGCACTCAAACTCAAACTCAATAGCATTTATTTCAATTAAACCATAGTTTGGTACTTTTGAAACGTCAACAAATATGAAATAAATAATAGGCTGTCAGTCTGTCCGTCAGTGAAGCTAGGCGCTCGTTCCAAAATGTCGATTCGAGTGGAGAAGAACGAGCCATAAACTCCATTTGTTACTCTTTTAAAAAAAAGTCGGTTTTACACTGCTCTAATACATATTCTAAATGTGTACAAACACACATGAGGGAACAATGTAAAGACATACCTGACGCATCATACAAATAACAGAACGTACTAAAATAAAAAACAAAACCAAGAGAAAACAAATATCTTAGGTCTGACATGGTCCTCACATATGTATTGTATACTGACAATTCATATAAAATATACTTTTTAAAATATACTTTAAAAAGGGTTTATATACAAGAAAAAAAAACACTCTGAACTCGATTACTCATATTTGTAGTAGGGATCTATTTCTCATATTGCCAATGTATCCGTACATATCTATCATTAATAAATCTAAGTTACAAAAAAAGCAATAGCAGTCTCGCCGTTTTTAATCTGTTTAATGTTTCAAAAATAATACTCGAGAAATATCGCGAAAGTATTCGAAGATAGCTTTCGAGTAACTCTCGAAAGTGATCGAGGACGCTCGATAGATTTCGTGTAACTCTCGAAAGTGATCAAGGACGCTCGATAGATTTCGAGTAACTCTCGAAAGTGATCGAGGACGCTCGATAGTATTCGATTAACTCTCGAAAGTGATCGAGGACGCTCAATAGTTTTCGAGTAACTCGGTTTTCGGAGGATCTCTCGAAAGTGAACGAGGGCGCTTCATCGGTTTCAGGAACGCTCAATAGATTTCGAATTTAGGGTTCGCGGAACGCGACGCGCCGTTCTCTCGGGTCTGTTTCTGGTCGGACGGGGAGCCACCCATGCTCGCCGTCCGCAGGCCCGCGCTTACGGTGGCCGGAGATCGTCCCGCGATCCCCGACGCCCGGTGTGTCCTTCGCG